AGCTGCAGAGGAATGCAACTGAAAAACAGGCCCTGGGCTTATTCAGCCAGATTTAAAAAATATATAAAAGGGTAAAATTCAAAAGCCTTGTTTTTCTCATTGTTAGGGTTCTGCTATCCTAAAAGACCTTCTTCTTAGGCGTATCTGTGGTGTAGTGGGAAGATTTTTGGTCTAAATACATGAGAAGACATTAAATCTTCCATTTGGCTGTTTAGTGAGTAGCTCCAGGCTCCCAGTGGACTGTCTTTTCACAATAATTTCTAGTTTAGTTGTGAAATTTTATTTTCTTAACAGACCTATGCTACAAAACCAAAAAAATTTTGCAAAGTCATGCCTTCCTGAGAGATAAAGGTCATGTTTTGATATATTGCAATAGAGGCTCCAACTGGAAGCCTGGGCAAAAATTTACACAGTCTTGTTTTACACACATTTTAAATAACATAGATGATAGTGTCCAGGTAAGTACACACAGAGAAGAGTGGACAAAGTTTCCAATATGATCAAAAAGCCTCCATGATTTGAAGCCTGTTGAGATAGGGATTTGATCCCTTTTAGTCCTCTCCTTCCTTTCTCCCTTAGCTGCCTCTTACATGAGATACCCCATGAAAGCTGTTTAAACCACACCAAGAATTCATCCAGAAACTGATGCCTGAGTTTGTCAGTGTACAAAATAGAACTGGGTTAAAAGCAGGCCAGGGCATTAATAGGAAGAAGATGGCTGGCAGCCTGTTAAGCCCCATATTGTGGCTGTAACCTCCTTGTTGGGTGTTGTCCAAACTCCCAGAAGTGAGGAGGGCATATGAGAACAAACTATGTTCATATAAGAACAAAGTATATGATTGTGTGCCTTCCCTCTCCTTCCACTCCCACCCAATATCTGCTAGTGGCTGTTCTCAGAAAAATGATATTGTTTTGGAAAGTCCTAGTGATATGGCCCAGTATGTAGAAGATTTTTGGCAGTCCTAAGCAGAGGACTAAAGATTGCAGGCAGCACTAAAAGTAAGCAGTGTTTTCTCCCTCAGAAACAGTCTCTGTCTTTAAGGTTTGTGGAAAAAATGTTGGGTTTTCTTTGCTGTATTATTCCTCTTTTGTGGAGAGTATCCTTCCAGTACCAGCTCAGCCTCTTTACTAGACACAGATGGAATTTTTCTTTGATTCAGTGCCCACTGCATGACACAAAGGACTGCGGCTGATCTAAGGCAGGTAGCAAAAGCATCCATTTAAGGTTCCTGTATTTTTGGACTTGGTATTTAAGAAACTCATATAGACATATGGATTGAGACTTACTTGTAAAGAGAATAATTTAGTCTAAACCTGTTTGGAAAGAAAGATTTTGATTGATATTTTCATGTAATATGAACATAAATCTCAATGATCTACTAAACTATATACCTGAAAATATTTCTAAAGCTTTCTGAGACAGAACCTTCTACAGACTGTGTGAAAATCTATTACTATAACTGGGTTGAAACACTTGGTTTTAGACTCTTTCCCTTTCTTCTTTCTAATTGCATAACATCATCTCTTGAAATGGTGTTTTAAACAAAAGGCAGACTTTAAAGCAATGTGGGCTTTTCCCCAACACCTACACTAATATCTAAAAATACTCTTAAAATTATTCAAGAAGGAAGCTTTTTAGGGTGAAATTCCTCAGATATATTGTGTTTTGCTTTTCCAGGACTGAATCAGTTTTTTATTCACTGTAATACATTTGGTTTGTGAATATTTAATTTCTACATTTGCAGTGCAAAGAAAAAGGATGTCTTCTTGTAACTTGATCAATATAATGCCTTTAATCCTATGCTTTGGGGAGGGAGTATGCTTGATCATGAGAGCTGGAAGGCATTCCCTATTCAATCCATGAAAAGTCAAAAAATATAATAGTTTCTGCTAATTAAGAAAGTCGTGACTGACCAAGAATCGTCCATGGTTATCTGTGATGGTACCATGAAAAATGCATTGTAATTAGGTAGCACAGCTTGAATATGAATTAGCATTATTCAACAGATGCATGCCTATTTGCTGGTCCAAGCATCAGTTTTTCATTGAAATGGAAAATCAAGTAATAACAACAACAACAACAACAAAGGAAAGACATCTACAAAGTGCTCCAACATTTCGTTATTAAAGAAATACATATTTTTATTTTATTTATTATTCACTATTCAAATCTTCTTTTGAGGAAGACCAATATGCTATTTCAGAGGAAATACTAAATTTTAGGAAAGAACGTTTAAAACAAAAAAGGTTTTTCCTTCAAAGCTGCCTGTCTTTTTGTGTCTTCCATATGGAAGAAAATGAAAAAACTGAAAATGAAAATATCTGAATGCATATGAAATGAATTAATCTTCAGCCCACATCCCTCCTGAAACTATAAGCTCTGTCATGATGCTACAGACAACATGACAAGAGTTACATGCCTTGTATGCAAGCACTAGTGCTTGCAGTAATGATGAAGAGCATTGCATAGATACAATATGCTTGTCTAGTCTGTCTGAATGCCCTTTGTTGCTCTTATATTCCCTGTCCCTGTAAAGTTGTACAAAGGGGTTTATATTACTATCTTTGCAAATACCCATTTGTTCAAATGTTCACTTCAGTTAAAGAGACAATTTCCATCTCAGAATTCTTTTCTCCTAACTTCCTGGCTGAGATGTGCATATTGGCAGTAGTGGTGTATGTAGGGGTGCACAGTTGTGTGTCTGTATTCACAGAGGAGTGACCCTGCGCAGGTGAGCAGAGAATGCAGGAGACTCAACAGCCACACTGACACCCTCTAAAAGATGCACTTCCACCGTGCTGAATGAGTGCCCACGAGCAATGCAGCACACTCAGGGCACCCCAGTTCAGTTCCATCCCAAATGAGCACAGTCTGTGCTCTGACATAGCCCTGCACTGAAAAGCAAAATGATGTCATGGGGAATGCTCAGGAGAGTCTCTTCAAAAGCACACTCCTGTTCCCAGCTGGGAACAGTGTGGAGCTGGGATTTTCAAACTGAGATAGGGATTAGTCACCCCAAGGGTTGTACTCAGACACCTGGAAAAAAGTATTTCTCAACAGTGATGGACTGCTGCATCATTCCTTTGCTGAGCTGGAACACTAGGTCTGTATTTTGAATTCTACAGAAGAGTCCAGGGTTTTGGATAAAATGCTTTTAAGTCTTAACACACCACTGAAGTGTAAGACTCAGGGAAGTTTCATTAAACACAATCTCTTCTGCTTCAACTTCCAGCTGTATCCTGCCATGTTTAATAGGAAAACTAACTATCCTATCCTGCAGTAGAGGCTTGAAGCCCTGGAGATAATATGGCACAAAGCTGCAATAAATATGTTTTCTGCACACTGTTCCAGTCCAGGCATGGCACTGGGAGAGGGCTTGCATTTTTCTTACTTTGTATAGGACCAGGTGGGTTATGTGCTCTGCCTGCTGCTTTCACTGGGAGTTAGAACTCCATCTCTCTGATGTTCCTTGAGTTGAAAAGCTCATTTCCATTTCATAACAACAGCTCTCCAGTCTCCTGCTGACTCAGCCTTTCCTCCTGCAGTAGGAAATGTCATGTGGACACAGTAATTTTCATATATCCTTGTTCAGACTTCATTATAATTTATTATTAACTGTATTAAGTCTCTCATACATAAGTCTTGAGCAGCTTACCTATCAGTATGGTGACTGAGTGAGCAACTGAGAAAGTGTGTCAGTAATTTCTTTCCCCTCATCTTCTTAATATCAAATATTACAATTATTGCAATTCATTCTTGGCACCCACATTTTTTTCATTAGCAACATACTGTTCACACCTCTTTTCTTGCTACCTACTGTAATCAGAGAAATGAGGAGCTAACCACTTATCTGTGCACTGTACTATAAATGAGTAGAATGATCACAGTTTGGGAACTGCTGTTACACACACATGGAAGTGATGCACAACACAGTTATACTGATAGAAATAAGATATTCCTGGACAAAAATCACTTCTGGTTGCTCCGAATAAACTATATTTATTGTGTTCCAACTGTGACATAAACCTACTTTTTTGTTAAGTAGTTTATTTTTTCAGCTCTAACTCTGATACAAGTTGCACAATTTTAAACACATGCTTGATTTAAAAAAGATTATTTGACTAGGATTCCTTGTTATATTATGGACTTTAGGGCATGGATTTTTATTTGAGCTCAGCAATCATAAAAGTTCATAGCATTCAAAATTCAAACTGAAAAATGATGTTAACTTCAGTAGAATTTAGGGATGTATCTATTATTTTGAACATTATTTTGAGGTTGGTAGGTATTCAGAATGCGTTCTTCACTTTAGCTATATAGAATGGCACATAAGCCATGAAAGGCAGTTTAAAGGGCCTTTGTGTTTTCTCAGCAAAGTTATCTCAGCAAGTTTGGAGCAAAGACCTTCAGGGTTTTCCAAGTGCCCTACCTTTCAGATCATGTGTTTCAGTTCTTTCACCTCTATAGTGCACCTGCTGGCAGAGCCTCTCCTGGTTCAGTGGGTTGCAGCCTTAAGGTATTGGAAACCAGGTCCTGGAAGAAACTTCTTGCCTCCTGGCAGTGCTCATTACACACTTCAAGACAGCCTTTCCTTCAGGACCTGGTGTATTTTTTATCTCTTCACAAATAGACAGTGAAAAGGTAAAACATCTGTATCAATAAAAGTCTGTCATCTAGGTACTTTTTTTTTTTTTTAGTCTCTCCTTGCAAGTTCTGGCTAGTTCCAAAATTTCCTCTACTGTAGAGATCCTTACCCTGAGTTATATAACATTTCTCATGTTCCTCTCTGATTAGTGATCACTTACCTCTGAATACCACAGCTCTAAATGGTGGCTTTAAGATGAACTCCAAACACTTAAATAAGCCTGAAATAATAAGCCTGGCATAAAAATATGTCTGAAACCAGAGAAACAGTTCTTTTTAGGGTGGTTAAACAGACATTTTCATATCAATGTCCTTTTTCAGTTCATTCCCTAATTTTCTGTTTGGTCTTCTGCAGATCTGAATTACAATAAGATGCCTCTACCTACATCTTCCATCATGGCTGGCTGTCTACTCTCTTCGAAGGTAGGCTCTATGTTAATAGTTGAATTTGTTGATACATCCCAAATGATCACTTTGGTAGAACTACTGATTATGCTACAGAGCTTCACCTAAAGAAATCTAAGTACACTTGGAGGCTGTCCATAAAAAGGGTGAAGATAGTAACTTAGCTACTTTTGTCACTTGTAATTAATTTTTCTATATCATTTTATGTGTGAATAATAAGACTGCAGATACCGGCATTTGTTTTCAAAAAGTAACCTGGAAAAAGCACACATTCATCTTAGTTTCAGATAGTTCTGTAGAGGAACCTCCTCTGGATCCTGAATTAAAATATTGCTGTGGAAAGTGAGGCAGGAGCAGTCAGATAGGCCTTGGGGACATGAACACCCAGCACTTATCATAACAGCACATGCTCTGGGCATCTCACTGAGGTCCTTTTGAAAGACTGAACTGTGGAATTAGACTGGGGAAAGCTTTACTCAATGCTATAATTCACTTTCCTGCCATGCAGGAGAGGAGACCAAATGGTCCAGTGTGGCAGCAGGATCAGAGTCCCAGTCATGAGCCAGGCAGGGACATCACATTGTGCTGGGTCTTGCAGAGGCACACAGGAAGAAGATGATGGCTTTTCCTTAGTTCTTGACTTACTTGGTAGTAGATTATTTCTTTGCTTCTCTCAGGAAAACACTGCATCATGTATTATGGAAACACCAAGGTTACTGTCTTGCCTGTGCTGTTTAGTAAATGACATAGTGCTTCTTGGTAGAATATAGATGTCAACATGACTATTGAAAGTGTCCAAGGATGTCATGAGTCCTTGCATGCAGGGGAGAGATGGCATGCTATTAATGATCCTTTCTTCCTCAAGCAAATTCCAGTCATGTTATATAAAATTGGGACAGAAATAAAAATAGCCCTTCATTAGAAGCAGCCTTGTCTGCTGTACCTATGGCATACTAGACTTATTTAAATAACATTGTGAATTCTTGGGGAAAACAGAACCCAGAGATGCAGGTATTATTTCTGCTGTAGTGTGGCAAGGACTTTGCTGCTGTGAATAATAACAGCCATGTTGATGGGTAGGTCTAAATTAAAAGTGAAAGAGGTTATTCATTCATTGCAAAAATCCATCTTAATGTGAAGATGAAGGTGTTTGGGGAGTTTTTTCATTTTATTTTTGCTTTTAGGCCTATGTGGTATTCAGGGCCGTGTTAAAGTTGGAAAATTGTTTATGTTATGACAGATGAGCAAAGTTTTAAATTATTTGAGTTCCTTTTTTACTTCTCCTCTACTAGGCAAGTACAAACTCAGTGGGGGATTTTCCTTGGTGCGAAGTGCCGTATCTGATGTCTAAAAGAAAGTGATGACCCTATTCATTTTTTTTAATGTATTGGTCAACATTAATCAAAATGCTTCCTAGCTGTAATACCTGATGTCCTTTCCTGTTTGGAATTCAGAAATATTTTTGGTATTTGAGAATGTTGATCAGTGATAAGCATCAACTGATACAGGGACTTAGGGGAGTCTAAACAGCATATTTGAATGGGCAGGGGCTGATGGTGAATGTGGGTCAGTGGGACAAAGTGCCTGAGCTGTTCTGAGTGCTTTGGATGTTTCATGGCTTCAGGGACTCTGTGGTACCAGTGTACTCCTTGTGGCCCACATATATTTTACTGATGGAAGTTGGAATTCACCCTGCCCCTAGTCACAGGAACGGCCATGCTTGAAAAATGTTTCTAAGTTTGCTACTGTCAGAAGATGTAACAGTCACTGAGACACTTTATCAAAATGTAGTCCTATGACTGACTGCAGGTGTAAAGAGGGACGGTGTGAGTAAAAAGAAAAGAATTTACTTCCATCTTGAATTATGTATAAAGTAATTTAATTAAGCCAAGTTGCAGAATTGGCTGATTTGTGTGCCGGAAGATACAAATCCAAGCACAAATAATGGAGAATGGATACTGAAATATCCTTGAAATTAGGCTCTATAAAAAGGTCTTTTTATTTACTTCTTTTTCTCCTTTGGAAAAAAGTAATTTTTTTCTCTGCTGTATGTAAATGGAAAAATGTGTGTTCAGTGGTCCTGATACATTTAGTTTGCTTTTGTTGATGTCAGTTCCCGAGGAGGGGAATATGAATTTTGCACCTATTTTGAACTTTGTATGTTAGTAATTTACTCAAGAAGGTGAACTGTTAAAAAGCTTTCATCTTCCATTATTGTGAGCCCTTGAAGCCAGAAGTCTTCACAGCAGCATGCTGAGAATGTCAGAAGGAATCTGTCCTTTAGTCCTTTCCCTGAATAAATAGCTGTGGTGTTCAGGAAAATGCAATCTGAAAACTGGCTAAGGAAATGAAAAAGCAAACAAGCAGGAGCTTTAGTTTTAAGGAGGAATGGTGCTTGGAACACTTAGTATCTGCAACAGGAAAGAGAAATAAGGCTAATAAGTGGTAAGATTATGCATCAGCTTTCAATTAAAAACAAAGCTGAAGTTCAATAAATGTAATCCTAATATGTCAAGAAGAACAAATACTTGGGACTTAGTTGTAGCTGGGTTCAGGAGTAGAACTTCAGCTTTGAACCAGAAGGTCAATTATCAATACCAAACACATGTAAATAAAATATTTTTTTTTAAGAAAAATTACCAGTGCCTTAGTGCTGTGAGGTACATTATTTAGTCTTCCCACCTAAAGACCAGGCCAGACTAGCTAGAGAACCAGGCCAGTGTTCCTAATGGGCAGAAACATTTCTTGTCACTTGTGGAGTTTTATCTTCACACTTTTATTCTTATAGAAGAAAGTAAGTGAAACACAATTTCCCCATATGAGGCAGTGATTCTGAAGGAGGAAAGTGAGAAAACGGTGCAGGAAGCTTCAAGTGACTGTGAGACAGGTAAAAGCTTTAACATTGTCTGTAAATTCAGGTTAAAAGATTGGTGCATATTGATGTGGACAGAATGAAATGCGTGCTGCATTCAAAGTCAAAGATGCAATGAGAACACTGCCAGCTTATGTTAACTAGGTACAACATGTATTACTGGATGTGTTTTGTCCTTCCTTTCCTTCATCCCAGCCCTGTGTCTGTTAGAAGCCTCTGGTGCCTGAAAGCCTTTGGTCTATGTGTAGAATTCCAGAAAGAAGAATGAGACTTTAAAGATCTCCAGTAGGAAAAAGTTTCAGGTTTGTGATGAGAAATGCAGGGTGATGTAATACTTTTATGAGCTCAGACGTAGTGCAACACCTTCCCTCCTGGGAAACACAAGGACGGTGGTGTTTCCCTGAGTGTGTCAGAGGGGCCCTGTAAGAAAGACAGTAACACAACTGCAAATGAAAAGAAAATCTCTTTGTAATTTTGCCATGTGCTGTCATTTTGCATGTGGTAGGAATGTCTCTTTCTGTCCCCTCTCTCTTGCACACAAGCCCAGAACATCTTTCCCCTCTCTCTTGCACACAAGCCCAGAATTAGCCAGCTGCCCTGATTGACAGGGTGTTTCCTCTATTGAGCCACAGCCTAACAGCAGGTCTGAGGTCTGAGCACAAACCTTGGAAACTGCTTGGGAACACGAACAGAAGAAAAGTTTGGGGATTCTTTCCTGGGTCAAATTAATTTCCAAGAAGTTGCTATGAAGCCATTTACACCTACCTTATAGATGTGCATTTCACCATTTGTATTTTTGAAATGTTGGCAGTGATGTTTTGGCCAGGGAAGGATCTGTGAACATACTTTGACATTCCATGAATGCGTCAAAACTATTATTTTGTAAGAGGCCTGTAGTTAAGCCTGGTAATTGCTTGGGTGCTAAAGGCCACAATAGCTGAAACACTAAATTTCTGCCATAATTTTGAACTGACTGACTAGATAAATAATGTGGAACTGTTTCTACTCTAGAATTAGATGTCTTCCAGGTCTACTGACAGTTTTGTCAAATAGTGCATCAACATTTCTACCATAAATAGTCATAAAAATGATGGCAGTGATATGGAAAATATTTTTTTTCTTCTCATAGCCAGTCCTGTAATTAAATATTGTTTGCAAATTGAACTGTAGAGTTGTTGTAGAATTTTTCCTTGCAGGCAACCAGTTACAATAACTTAAAAAAAGTTGGAAGGGATAAAAAATGATTTATAGCTTCACCTTTAAGTGGCTACATAGAAATCTGTGTTTCTAGAGGTAAAGCTGTTTATTTCTGTGGTGTGTGAGCTTTAGCTGACATATGTGGGACATGCATGTGAATGCCTGCACAGCCATCAATTGTGACACCATTGCAGAGACAAAATAATCCAGTGACAGCTGGGTATCTGGAAACAAGAGTCTCAAAGATGAGGCTTTGATACCAGTGACAGAAGGATGTCAATGGATTCTAAGTAGTCCCACAAGACTTGTCAGATGTGCCACATTAAAATTAAAATTTAGTGAATGAGGATAAAACTTTAATGTAGCTTCAATGGCCTGACCTAGATAAAGTTGTTAATTTTTGATTTATAACTGGGTAGAGAATTTTAATCTGCATGAAAAAGAGAAAATTTTCCATTTCTGTGAAAATAAGCATCTTCTTTAAATACTGAGAATCTTAGACCTAACTCTTATAATGTAACAGTGGCACCAAACTTATTGCATCTCAACACTGAGTTCAAAATTTGACATATCCTCTGGACTCTCCCATTCTAAACTTGGTTGTTTGCTCTCTCTCTCTCTCTGCACAAAACTGATTGTGAATAGATGCTATTTTGGATGCCTAACAACTGCTGTGATTCTTGGCCTTAAATGGGGTTCTTGCTTGCTTATATGAACACACAGTTTTCCCTCAAGCTCTTGTCCCTCTTCTGCTGTTGTCTTCTACAATATCACCTTGCCAGGAGGTCCTGTTACCTGCAGATATCCCCTGATCTGACTAAAGGCCCACCAATTACACACCAGGCATTGCAGGTTTTGCAAAGTCCCACAAGGCTCCACCTAATGAAATGGATTCTGTTTAGGCAGTGTCCTCCTCTAGACTAGAGTGAGACTGTTCTAATGAAATGGG